TGGGGCTGGGTGGGGGGAAAGGGCGGGAGGGTGTGCAAAAATCCTCAACAGAATACTAGCAAAATGAACTCAGCTGCATATTAAACGGGTTACACACCATGGCTAAGTGGGATATTCCTGGATGTAAGGATGGGTCAATGTGAAAATCAACCATCCACTTGGTCAGTTTATTGATCAGAGGACAAAAATTGTCTAATTATCTCGCTGACACTGAAGAGCCCTGGACAAAATTCAACAATAGGTTCTTTTTATAAAAACACTTAGCCCAGCCAGTGTGGCTCAGTGGCTGAGCATCGACCTATGATCCAGGAGATCGAGGTTAGATTCCCGGTCAGGGCACATGCCCGGGTTGCGGGCTCCATCCCCAGTTGGGTGGCGTGCAGGAGGCAGCTATCAATGACTCATCATTGATGTTTCTCTCTCTTTCCCTCCCTCTTCCTCTCTGAAATCAATAAAAAATACATATTTTTTTAAAACAAAATAACCAAAAAAAACCACCCCAAAACACTTAATAAACTAGGAAGAGAAGGAAACTCCCTCAGTGTAAGAGCACCCGCGACAGCCCACAGCACACAGTGCAATAGACTGCGCGCGTCTCCTCGGGACAGGGGAGGCGGGGCGTGGCAAGCTCTCACAGGGCAGTCAGGGAGGAGAAAGAAAGAAGAGGGTCCAAACTGGGTGGGGGAAGTAAAACTATCTTTTCACAGATGACACATCTTATATGAAGAAAACTACAAATTTCACATAAACCGTTAGATCTAATAAACAAGTTTCAAGACACAAAATCAACACACAAAAACCAGTTGCATTTCTATACACTAACAATCAACAATCCAAAAATTAAAAAAAAAATTATTCAATTTACAACAGCATCCAAAAGAAAAAAATACTCATGAGTGAATTAAACCAGGAGGGAAGGACTTGTACACTGAGAACCATACACATGCTGAAAGAAGCTGAAGACGACCTGAGTAAACGGAAGTGCACCCAGAATTGTCCATGGAGGACAATTCTGTTAATGGACACCACCACCCAAAATGGTCTACAGATTCGACACAATCTCTATCAAAATCCCACCCAATGGCATTTTTTTTGTAGAAACAGAAAAACCCATCCAAAAATTCTTATGAAATCACAAGGGATCCTCAAAAGACAAAACAATCTTGACCAAAAAAAACCCCCAACAAAGTTGGACTCATAATTCTTCAGTTCAAAACGTACTACAAAGCTACAGTTTTCAGCAGAGTGTGGCCCTAGCATGAGGACAGACATGAAGACCAATGGAAGAGAGTTGAGAGTCAAGAATTAAACCTTCCCGTTTATGGTCAATTGATTTTCAACAAAGGTGCCAAAACCATTCAACGGGGAAAGGACAGTCTTTCAACAGGTGGTGCTGGGTGAACTGGACGCCCACAGGCAGTGGAATGAAGCTGTACCCTCACCTTATGTACATACACAGACCAACTCAAAACAGATCGAAGATGCGATAGAGGCAACAATATAAAACTCCTAGAAAACATAGGGGGTGAGCTGCATGATAGTGGATTTCGCAATGCTTTCTTGGATATGACTTTTGTGTGTCAAAGGAAACCATCCACAGAGTGAAAAGAACTCACAGAATTGAAAGTCAAAAAATAACTTAATCCAGAATGTATAAAGAACTCCTATAACTCAACAACAACCAAAACCACACAACCTGATTCAAGAATGGGCAAAGGGCTTGGACAGCCATCCAACGAAAACGTACATGTGGCCAAAATAAGCAGATGAAAAGATGCTCAACATCACTAGGGAAATGCAAATCAAAACCACCACGAGATACCAACCACTTCACAACCGTTATAATGGCTATTATTAAAAAAAAACAAAAAACAAGTTTTGGCGAGGACATGGAGAAATCAGAACCTTCACACACTGCTGGCGGGAATGTAAAATGGTGCACCCGCTGTGGAAAACAGTCGGTTCCTCAGAAAGTTGAACACAGAATTGCTATGTGACCCAGCTACTCCCCTCCCGGGCATATGCTCAAAAGAAGTGAAAGCTGGACTCGAACAGGTGTTTGTGCCTCTGTGTTTAGAGCAGCATATTCAAAACAGCCCAACGGTGAAAGCAACCCACGCATCCCCAACTAATGAATGGATGAGCAAGCGTGGTCCATCTACACAGTGGAAGATCATTCAGCCAAGAAAAGGAAGGAAATTCTGACACCTGCTGTAACAGGGACAAACCTTGAAGACATGCTCAGCGACACAAGCAAGACACACAAGGCCAAATACTGTGTGATTCCACTTATAGGAGGTCCCTAGAGTAGCTAAACTCAAGAGACAAAAAGTCAGGTGGTGGGTGAAGGGGCTGGGGGAGGGCACAGGGATCGATGGCTCAGTGGTCGGTGTTTCTGTTTGAGATAAGCAGCTCTGATGTTACATAAGCTGTGAGTGTGTTTAATGCCACTGAATTAACTGTGCACTTAAAAATTATTCAGCTATAAATTTTATGTTACATATTTACTACCACAATAAAAGTCAAAAGGGGAGTGGAAAAGAGCAAAATTTTAAGAGGACAGGGAGGGAGGTTGGTCATAATCCTGCTGGTATTTCCAAAGGCTGCAACAGCTTATGAGGCCAGTACTTCAGGCCCAGTTCCAAGGCTGGCTCCTTCTGGGATTATGATTTAAATTGAAAGAGATTTCAGCTTCCTGGGACAAAGGGACAAGGGCAAGGCCAAAGAGCAGCCTGGGGACTGCATCTGCCCCTGGTGCACACTCAAGAGCGATGCCCCCCTCCATCAGCACCCCCTTCTGCCTGCCTAACCCTCTCCTCAGACACCCAGGTGCCCTCCAGGCAACGGGGGGTGCCTGCTGAATGAGGGGTGTTCCCACTGGCTTTGACAAGAAGTGCAGAGGGGCCTTGTTGTGGAGTGAGCAGCTGTTCCTTTAGGATGTTTTATGTCAAAGAGCTAAAATCAAAGTTCTACCAGAAGGCAGAATGTCTGGAAGGACATGGACCATATTACCCCACACCCTCAAACAGACTGGAAACCTGCCCTCTGCTTTCAGAGCGATTCTCTGTGAGCCTACACAGAGGCACATCCCACTGCCGCTCAGGGTGTGGTCAGGCCTGGGGTGGGTCCAGAAAATGGTTTCTCTGCAGACTGTGCCTGTTTCAGGACCAAACCAGAGCCCCCTGCTGGGCAGGCCCTCCCAAAGGTGCTGGGGTCCAGCTGCCTGCTCGATGGACCCTGCCCTGTGGCATTTGCCTGGTCTGCCCACTGCCGAGGACCCTGGCCCTGCAAGATATGTGGACAGACACGTGGCGGAGGGCGGCTGGCAGCGGTGCCCACTCACCAGCAGTAAGCCCATGGTGTTGAGCCGGCAGAGTTCCTGGTTGATGCTGGGTGTGTTTGTGTGCAGCAGTGCAGCCATGAGGCGGGCGCCATGCAGACGGGCATTTCCTAGGGGCTCTTCTAGCACGCCGATGGTGGTCAGGATTGCTGCTCTCTGCAAACACAGAAGCACCACCCACTGGAACCTTGCAGCCCAGCATGGCCACTGCTCAAAGGGCCAGGGCTGTTGCTCCGTGATGTGGCACAGCCAGAGGAGTGGGGGAGTGGGGGCTTCCTCAAGGCAGCACTGCCAGCAAGAGGAAAAGAAGGAATAACAGAGTGAGTGAGGGGGGCCACCGCACCTAGAAGCCCGGGCACTCTGGTCCCAGCCTGCCAGCCACAGGGCTGAGCACCCTGGTGAACAAGACAGGACCAGTGCCCTCAGGGGGCAGCTGTGAACACTCTTGGGAGAGACTGAGAGCAGAGCCGCCCTGTCAGACTGCACTCAGGTTTTTCCTGATCCTGCACGAGCAGTGTAACGCATCCACCTTTCCATGAACAGAAAGCTCCAGAACCCCTGCCTTTGTGAAGTTTCCTTCCTGCGGGGGAGGCAGACACTAAGCAAGCTGATAAATAAAGCAGTGTGGTCAACCAATGTGGGCGCACAGGAGAAGCACTAGGAGCAAAGGGCTGAGTTGGGGGAGGGGCTAAGTTGAGCTCAGCAGGGGCGAGGCAGACTGGGGTGGCCATGAGAGAGTGGACCTCCTCAACATGACCCCAAGCGCCTCCCAGAGCTGCTGAACTGAGCAAGAGCCTCCTCTGGGACCCCTGACCCTTGGCTGTGGGTGCCCCTGACTCAGAGGCCAGGCTGACGAGGAATGTAGGCTCTCAGATGACCCCTATTTAAGAATGCAAGAGTCATCTGGGGGGCTGCAAAATGTCCAAGCCCCAGGCTCCCCCTAAGAGGACAGACATTAAGGGGATGGGGGTCTGAAATCAAGCCCCTGGCATCTGCCTGGTGGTTCTCAAGTTAGAGTCAGGGAATAGCAGTGTGAGTGTGTTCACTCATCCTGGGTAAACCGTGGGTACTTTGCTTGTCCCAAGTCCTGTACCTTTGGCGGGTGGAGTAGGAGCTGGTGGAAGTCCTTCAGCCGCGGCTCAATGCTGTGCAGGACACTGCCGCTGACAGTGCACAGCCTCTCCAGTCCCTGAGAAAAGGAGTCCACCAAGCCCTCTGTCCTGTGGATGAGGAAGCGTATGGAGACGGGAACGCCCTGGCCTCTGTGGCATCTCACTCCCCTGCCCAATGTCCCTAATCATCTCAAGGGTGGTATGGTGACTGATACAGAGAGAAGAGAGATGCCCAAGGCCATTAGAAAGCTTTCCCAGGTGACGGCCCAGAGTACCACGGCTCAGCCTAGCCCCCGACAAGCTGGGGACGTCGCACTCAGGAACCATTTCTGCTCCCCTCTTGCTTTGAAAATATCCAGTTATCCTCACCTCTCGGCTGAGAAACAGGAAACAGGACCAGCCCACACTGTCCCTCTGGCTTTGTCAAGCTGATATCTCTGAGATCTTTATTTAAACACTTTTTCCAATCATAAAAGTAATACATGATCATTATAGGAGAATTTTAAATACGTAAAAAGATAAACAGCAAAAAGAATCAGCTGGCTCATCTGTCTCCCTCATGTCTATGCTGCCCCTTCATCACATGGAGCCTGAACCAGGACTGGAGCAGCCTGACCTGCTACAGAACAGCCTGGGCTTCCTGCATTCGTGAAGGTGAAAGATCCAATATTCCAGCTGCTTAACTAGAGAAAATGATAACATTGTAATTCTCTTTTTAGGTAAAAAGTTAATATGTATTGGGTACCAGAAAGAGACAGAGAGAGACAAAGAAACAGAGAGAGACAGAGAGACAGAGAGAGACAAAGAGACAGAGAAACTGCTAATAACCTCACTACCGAGATTAAGCCAATCTGACATTTCTTGTTCTTTCTTTTTAAAAAGTACAGGCTGCCTGGCCGGCATGGCTCAGGCGTTGAACATCGACCTAGGACCCAGGAGATCGGTTTGATTCACAGTCAGGGTACATGCCCGGGTTGTGGGATCGATCCCCAGTGGGGGGCCTGTGGGAAGCAGCTGATTGATGCTGATGTTTCTCATCATTGATGTTTCCATCTCTCTCCCCCTCCCCCTTCCTCTCTCTGAAATCAATAAAGATTAAAAAAATGTACAGGCTATCTGTGCTGGGGCTACAGTGAAGTTCCCTTCAGCATAAGGAAATGAGGGAACTACAGTCTCCTTGGGAGAGTGAGACCATTACCACCGCTCCTGACAGAACAGAGCTGACAGCAATGCACATACCCCATGAACACCCGCCCCCCACGCACACACACCCATGTACACAGATACGCCCCACGCATATACCTCCCATGGGCACACCCCCATGCACATCCCCCCATGCGCACATACAGACACAACCCACACGTGCTGTGGGGACTCGTTGGGACAGTCCTTGGGAAAACCACCAGCCATACCTACTCCGCAGACAGGTCTATAAACACTCTGCAAACAAGTGACAGTGAGCACCATGACTGATGGTGATGGTCAAGGGGAACTTGGCTTCCCTGGCCGCGTGGCTCAGTTGGTAGAAGCGTCACCCCATACACTAAAGGGTCATGGGTTCGATTCCTGGTCAGGGCACATACCCAGGTTGTGGGTTTGATCCCCAGTTGGGGTGCATACAGGGAGCAACCGATCAATGTCTCTCTCTCCCTTCCTCCCTCAAATCAACAGAAACATGTCCTCTGGTAAGGATAAAAGGGGGGCAGTGGATTGAGGGCTTGGGCTTGGCCATAGCCATGGATTTACCTTTCCAACAAAGAGAGTCTACCCATGTGACTAGCTGCACAACTGAAAATCAGACTGTGCACTCAAGCCTCCTGCAACTGAGGTGTCATACGCAGTGTCCTGCAACCTCCTCCCTCACAAGAGGCACTCACCCAGCCCGCCTTGTTTCCAGCAAGGTCAGCAACACCTGAGTCCCACTGACGAGGCAGCTCTCAGTCTGTTCTCCGTCAAACATGTTCCTCAGGAGCTGCTCCACACAGTCCTGCCTGTCAGACACACATGGATCACTGCCTGCGGAGCAGATGCAGACAGAAAGGACGTCTCCCCTCCCCGTGGAGGTGCAACACGCTCAGGTTTCAGGCCAGGTGCCTAGGGTTCTCAGGATGTTCCTGCCCCTGCTGGCCTGGGCTCACTGGACCTGCCTAGAGACCCTCCTGTGGGAAGTAGGCCCATCAATGCAACTGGATCGGGGTGAGCATTTCACAAACAGCTCATTGGAATCCAAATCAGAGGAAGTAGCAGTGTGTGTAAGTGTTCAGATAGGGCTTGGAGACGTTCTCACAACTCAGAAGGACCCCAGCACCCACCCATCGGCCAGGCCCACCAGCCCCATGGCCAGCACTCACGACTCCAGCACTGCGAGAAGGGGGTCCGGCTCCAGACCCTCTGGCAGCTGGCTGCCCTGCTCCCTGCCCAGCCGGACAATGTCGCAGAGGGTCTGTGAAGCATTGGACTGCCTCTGGAAAGAGGGAAACGGCCGTTAGGGCCAGGAGAAACATCAGCAGAGCAGCCTGCCGGACGATCAGAGTCCTGCCACTCATTTTCCAGAAGCTGCAGGACTCTCTAAACCAGTTCATTTCCAAGATGCAAGGTCTGCTTTTCCACAGTCAGGATGCAGGTCTGCTCAGACTCCTGGCTGCACTGAACTTCCTGAGTCTCAACAGTCACCTGTGGTTCGCAGGTACAGCTCCACCCCTTGGACCATGTTAAGGTACACGCATATGTGACCACATTACTGATACTGTATTTTAAATTAACAAGGAGCTACTAATAATCAGAACAAGTCCTGCAAGTTCATGAAAATACCAAAGTTGCTACAGGGAAAACAAAGGATGCAACTTTTCAGGGAAACGTGAACCTCGTGAAAATGTGGAACCTAATTCAGTGCACTTGCCCACCACGTGGGGGTTTTCCACGGGGCAGGTAAACACAGATTCAGCCCTAGCCCCTTGCAGGGGTGTCAGGACATGTAGTGTTGACATATACACTTCAGGGACACAGGGCTAAAGGAAGGGCACCCACCACCACCTCACAAAAAAATGGGAGCAGCCAGGTTGGCTCTGTGGCTTCAAACCTGCCTATGGACCTGTGGACAGCAGTGAGCCCCCAACGCTCAAACTCATGGGGGGATCGGGGGCACAGACACCCTCCAGAGCATGACAGGACAAAGAACAGAAGGGCCTGGAGGCAGCTAAGGGTCGACACAAGTGAGCACCACTGCTCTCAAAATTGCTGAGGATAGTGCATTTCCTTGGTCGCATGGAGAAAAGGCCTGTCGGAATACCCCACACACTCCCCCGTGGTTACCACGGAAGGAAGGGTCGGCAGAGGAAGCCCATCACCACCCTACGTACTTCTCACTGGCAGTGGGGGCTTCCTGCCAGAGCTCTCACCCTGTAACCATGTCCTTGAGCACGGCTGGAACCAGCCACTCCCTTCTAAGGAGCAGAACACACCAGTGAGGATTCTCACTCCTAAGATGAGTCTACAAGAGACTGACTTTCGTCCTGCTCTCTGAGGGAAGCCAGCAGCTACACTGTGAGCTGCTCTGTGAAGAGGCCCCTGGGGCATGGGGCTGAGGGTGGCCCCAGTCAACAGCCTTCAAGAAACTGAGTCCTGCCGAGGGTCCAGCGACGAGGGAAGCAAACCCTCTTGCCCCAGGTGGATCCTGAGATGCCCTATAAGTGATCCTGGGCAGAGGACCTGCTCGGCTGTGTCTAGATCCCTGATCCACAGAAACGAAGAAAAAAAGTACTTGTTGGGCAAGTAAGTTTCAGGGTAATCTATTACTCAAGTACAGACAGCTAATACAATCTGTTCAAACTGTTTTTTATGATATGTATGCATTATTTTTTAGTAAAAAAAAAGTCTAGAAGTCAGTGTTTGGTAAAGGAAGAGAGAAAAGTACGTCACTGGTCCTCCTCTGAGGAAGGGACTGACTGGCCCCAGACAGCAGCAGAGGGTGCTGCCCGACACCTGAGTGAGGAGCCCTGCGGCAGGCGGGCCTGTGGGCGAGTACTCACGTCTTCATGCTCACTCGGGTGGATCAATTCCACGAGTCTCTGAATGGTCCTCTCTTCATTAAGCCACTGAAAGGAAAAAGATGCCTGCTGATGACTCTGCTCACATCTGACGACGGGAAGTCCTGGGTGTGGAAGGTATCCACTCACCGGGTTCCACCAGGGATTTGCTGCCCTACAAGTGCGCCCGCCCAGGACCACAAAGAATGGGCAGTGACCAGGTTTGGGAGTGACCCAAAGTTTGCTGAGGAGGGAACCGCCGTCCGCAAGTCCTAATGGCGCAGAGTGAAACGCAGACCAGTGTGTCTGAGGAGCCGAGCACCAGCCCTCCCCATGCTGGCCCAGCTCAGCCGCGGCTTTTTCTTAATCCCCACCCAAAGGTGTTTTTATTTTTATTTTCTAGAGAGAGGAAGGGGGAGGGAAAGAGTGGAACATCAATCTGCTGCTTCCCATAGGCAGGGGACTGAGCCCGCAGCCTGGGTATGTGCCCTGACTAGGAATCAAACCCGCGACCCTTTGGTGTATGGGACAACCCTCCAACCAATGGAGCCACACTGGCCAGGGCTTGGCCTCCGCTCTTGCAGTGTCTGGCCTTTTCAAGATCAGGAGCAAAGGGACCCTGGTGAGGATACAGGAGCACCAGGAGGAGGATGTGCTAGACACTATTGGAGGTCCAAGGGTGAGGTGGCCCGGTTGACCTGGGTCACACCCAGCTCCCCCTGTGCACCTCCTCATCCAGAAATGGGATGACCTGCACCCAGGACTGCACAGCACAGGTCAGTGCAGGCTTCCCACGAACTCTGAAGAACAGCTGGCGTTCATGCTGCGCTCGCTGTGGGCTGTGGCTATATGACTGGCTCTTAGTGGGAGGCTCTCCAGAGTAATACAAGTTACTAGCCTAAGACTGAGCACTGCCACCTTGATGAAAACTCACCTGATTCCAGGAGCTGGAAAATGGGCAAGAAGGAACAATGGTACATTTTACTTTAAATTGCATGGCAAACAAAACTCTCCAAACACCAGTGGACAAGCTGCCCAGCACTGATCTCCTGGGCTTCTCTGGGTAAAGAACCCCCTTTTTTCTGGGAAAGCCCTCAGGGAGCTACGGTCAGCTTCTGGTACTGTGAACACCCATGAGGGCAGAAACGTGCACACACTCCAGGACAAATAACAGGTAACCTTGGTCTTTGCCATTTCCCTGCATGGAATCCTTGTTGGCTCGTGCTTTCCTCGCAGGTTTGTGCAGGACACAGAGCCAGCCCACCTGAGCTCCTGCCTGAGGCCATGGGGCTGGGGCTAGAGGGGTGGTCAGGAAAGCTTGGTTCTGCTTCTTCACAGAGGGGATAGAAGGAACTGCTCTGCTCTTTGCTTTTAAATGGACTGAGACAGGACAAGGGAAAAGGTGCGGAGTCTAGACCCAGCCTCAAGCCTGACAAGAGCCCTGATGACCCCAGAGGGAGGAACCCGTGTGGGATGGGAAACTGGGAGCGCCAAGCATGCAGTGCTCCGAGCTCCTTCGCTCAAGTCCGGCCTCCTATGCAGCCATCAACACACACTCGAGAATCTGCAGACACACCAAAGAGGGATGGGGCTCCAAGAACAAGGCCCACACACTCACCCTCAGGACTTCCTGTCGGAGCCCGGCTGGCTCCACGCAGCTGACCAGGCGAAGCAGCAGGTCCATGAGGGCCGAGGTGCCAATGTGCTTTAGGACCAGGCTGATGAACTTGTCTTTCTTCTTCAGGAACACAATCACCTGAAGTCAAACACCCTGGTAAGCAAGTAGGTCCAACCCTAACACCATAAGATGCTCCCCGAAGAACACTAAGATTAATTTTCAATTATCTTGAGCAGAAATAATGGCAAGACCTAAAAAAGCTATAAGAAAGGCCTCTGCAAGGCCAGGCAGAGGCCTGAACACAGGAGTCCTAGAGGCAGTGGCAGGGGGTGGGGAGGATGAGGATCCTGGGCCGACAGAGGTTTGCTTGCCAGGGACCCTCTGTGAGAACGTGACACAAACAGCCCAAGAGACCACACAGGCTGCTGTGCACAGCAACCACTCGGGACACACTGACTCAAGTTTTTTCAACAGAAATGACCAGCACGGACAAAGCTGAGCCAGGAGATGATGGTCACTGCTGACAGTCCCTGAACCTGGGACACCAACCTAAAGAGCACAGAACACACAAGACAGCCAGTCACCCATGGCCCAGGGAACAAGGACTGAGGTTTTAAAAAAGAGGAGGCAGTGATGTGTGGTTGGCTGGTGATCAGTGCCAACAAGATGAGAACAGCTAAGTATGAAGTATGAAGCCACCAGGGGGAGGGGGACACGGCAGCCAGCACCGTGGGGTGGACTACTCAGGGGTGGCTGCAGGTTGAGTGTGCAGGTGGAGGAGGCAGCCTGGGCGGAGTCCTTCCGGGCTATGTGTCTGCACGTTTAGCTCAGCCAGAGGAAAAGTGCCTACATGTCCAGGTCACTGTGCTGGGCAGACCCAGGACTCCACTGGGAACAATGGGGACAAAGAGAAGAGCCATCCAGCTGGGGGGTATCAGCCACACTCACAGGGCTGGGAGGAAGGGGAGGAGAGGAAAAAGTGGAGGGAGGAGGGTTCTTTGAAATGAATGATTAAGCTCCTAGAGAGAAAGATTATTAGAAATGAAACGAGGGACATCACTGCAGATCCTACACATATAAAAGCTATGAGAGCTTATCAGGGACAATTTTATACCAATTTATATGAATTTAGAAATGTAAAAGTTTCTTTACAAAACATACTTACCTAAACTGACAAGAAGAAATAAATAGTCTGAATAGCTCTAGAGCATCAAAAGATGCAAAATCTGTTTTCTGTGAGAAAACTCCAGGCTCTACCAAACATTTAAAGAGAAATGAGCCCAATCTTACATACAGTCTTTCAGGAAACATAAAATGTGAGATTATGCCCCATGTCATTGTAGATAGACATAAAAACGTCATTCTAAAAACCTGATTAGAACATTATAAGAACAGGAAATTATAAGCTAACCTCACTAATGACCCTAGATGCAAAAATTCAGCAATATGAAAAAAAGCATGTCACAACCAAGTTGGGTGTATTCCAAGAAATCAAGGCTGATTTAACATTAGAAAACTACTCAGTAAAATTTACCTATTAACAAAACAGAGAAGAAAAATCTTATCAGCAACTCAATACGGTAAAAAAATTTAATAAATTTCAACAACCATTCATGTTATAAACTAAAAAGACTAGGAATAAAGAAAATTCCTTTACTCTGATTAAAAAAAAAAAAAATCTGTGCCCAGCCGGGCGTGGCTCAGTGGTTAAGCATCGACCTAGGATCCAGGCGATCAGGGTTCCATTCCCGGTCAGGGCACATGCAGCCGATCAATGACTCTCTCATCATTGATGTTTCTAGCTCTCTCTCTCCCTCTCTTTTCCTCTCTCTGAAATCAATAAAGATATATTAAAATAAATAAACTCTTAAAAAAAAAAAAATCTGCAAAAACCCCACAACAAACATCATACTGAACCATAAAATAATGTAAATTTTTCCTCCAAGGTAATAAATAAAACAAGAAGGCCCATTATCACCACTTCAATCCAACATTGTACTAAAGGTTCCAGCCAATGCAATAAGGCAAGAAAAAGAGATAAAAGGTCTAAGAATTGTAAAGGGCAAAATAGAATTGTCATTAACCAAAGATAACATGATCTTGTATGTAGATAAAACAAAAGACTATAGCAATAAATTATAAGAACAGCAGCTTTATTGGTCATCACCAAAAACTGAAATCAGCCCAGATAAACAAACTACGGGACCCATATGCCACAGAATACCAGCCTGCAATAAAAGGAATACACTAATGTACTACTGATACACCCAACAACCTGAAGGGCTCTACAGGGAATTATGCTGAAAAAGAAAGAAAGCTAATCCCCAAAGGCTACGTATTATATAATTTAACTTAAGTAGCATTTTGAAATAACAAAATTTTAGAAACAGAAACAGATGAGTGGTTGGGGATGAGTGAAGGGTAGGGACAGGAGAAAGGTGGGAGCAGTTGAAAAGGGCAACACAAAGGACCCCTGTGGTTTGGAACTGTTTGGTGTCTTGACCGCGATGATGGAGACACCAACCTACACAGGTAATAAAACATATAACTCTTTTTTTTGAACTTTTTTTGTTTAATCCTCACCCTTAGACATGCTTTTATTGATCTGAGAGAGAGGAAGTGAGGGGGAGAGAGAGAGAAACATCAATGTGAGAAACATGGATCGGCTGCCTCCTGCACGCCCCTACCAATGATTGGGGGGAAACCCTGAACCACAGGGGCTTGGCAGACTTTTTACCTGTTCCGTCTTTCTTGCAATGAGATTCCCAATGGTCTTGCTGAAAAAACTGGCAAGCAGAGGATTAAGAGGTGGCTCGTGGTCCAGGAAGTCGTAGAGAAGGTTCAGCAGAGTCTCGTCCCCACCAAGCCTGTCATTGATCTGCGGCACATCACACGTCAGCAGCTCACAGGCCGTGTTTGGGTACCTAAAGGGCACAATGTCAGCAACTGGAGGTGAAATTAGACTTCTCCAACTGTCGGGAAACTGCTTAAATAATCTGCCCCTTAGGAAACAGACCCATGGGCAAGAGCAAAACACTGACAGACTGTGGACTAGAACAAAAATGTGCTAAGTCTGAGACAAACTGGCACTTCTGACTATTAGGTCAACGTTTTTAACCCACCATCCTCGTTCCCTGCACTCTCTCCAGGCCTCTGCTCTCATGCTCACCTGCAAGGTCTCTCACCTCCCGTCACCATCACAGTCACTGAGTCTAGGTTCTCATCATGCTTGTCCTCCCTTCCCCTCTTCATGCCCTTCCTGTCCCTATGTATCAACAAGCACAGGTCGGTCTGTCCCTAGACAGAAGCTCACAATGCAGTACTAGTTATAAGGTGTTATGCAGGCAAATTATTACTAAAGAATATCAATATATGTAATTGATGTGCTATTCATTTGATAAAAATGACCAGACACAAAATAATCCTCACCCCATTAAGCATGATCCCATGACATCAGTGAGGGCCCTGCCTTCCCATGCAACACACATGTGCTCACGGCCACCACCCTGAGACAGGTACACCTACCCAACCACCTGCCATATCCAGGATAGAGCCTGTGATCACAGCGCCAATAAACGCCCAGTGGTGTATCTGGGTACATATCTGGGAACCCAGGTGAGGGTGCCAGGCACAGAGAAGACAAGGACCTGGTGGGAGCACTCTGTGCTGTGGGCTAACTGGCACACACCTGACACTACATGGAACAATCTGTGCAGCCTGAGGCACATGAGCTGATCCCTCTGTGCCTGGGCTTCCTCATTTATACACGAAGCAGTGTCAATGTCAGCCACTGTGACTCTCCTGTTCCTGGGAGCCACTAGCACAGGCCCCAGCCGAGGCCTAACTCAGGTGTTCACTGTGGACCAGCTAGAGGGGACTGGGTTTGAGGCTCCAGAGGAAACAGTTGGTGAAGCGTGGAAAGGGATCAGGGAGAGACTTCAGTCTGTCTGTGGAGCGGTGTTCCTCGACAGCCCAGACAGTGCCTCCTAGAGCTCAGAGAAACAGTGCCAAATGCACAGTGGGCATGAGGTACCTACAGGTTTGCAGGAGGCCCAGCACTGGGCAGTTAACAAGCAGGCCCCGGCTTGAGAGGGGGCCCAGACAGGTGCGGTCATCCCAGGGAGGGGTGGCCAGTGACCACCTTGGGGGACTGTGACCAGAATCAGAGGAGGTGGCTCAGCACTGCAGGCGTGTGCTGTGATAGCCAGCATGGCAGAGTACACAGTCGCTAGGAGCAGGAGGCCAGAGAGAGTGTGCTCAGAGTGCAGGGCAGGAGGGCGAGGGCAGCGGCACTGAAGGCCAGAGCAAAGTCCATGTCACGCAGGCAGAGAGGTGACCACTGGCCTCCAAACAAAAAGATGCACCGAGCGCAGGACTGAACTGATTCCTGAGATTAGCAGACTTCTCCCTCCATGAAGCTCCTTCAGCCGACAGGAAGGCCCCATTCCAGTCTGCATGCACAGGCCACCGTGTGCACACAAGGGGCAAGCTGAACTACAGTGCCCTGACCCGCCCAGGTTAGAGCTAGGTGGAGGGACTGCGATTTTAACAGTATTTTATATGTTCTTTCAAAAAAAGAACAGCTTCAGTCGTTTATAAAATGTACACAAGGAAGAGGAATTCCAGTTAAGCACAGCAGATCACACACACAGGTCTGTAACCATTCTGTCAACTCACACGATGCAAAAGAAAAAAAGACGAGAAGTGGACATGATGCTGAGTGATGCCTGGAGGACAGGAAGTGGTGGCCCAGTGAAGACAGCCTGACGCCCAAGGAATCTGGAGCCTCAGCTGCTCACAGAAGGAGTGACAACCAGGCTGTGGGCAGGGTAGAGTGGCTGCCTAGAAACTTTCAAGAGCAGGGAAACTCTCAGTCCCTCCCTTGCTGTCCTCACACAGGACTCCTTGGAGATTTATTCCCTGGAAAAAGTGGACCCGAGCAGCTCCCGATGCAGGACCGTCAGGCACAGCTGGGGGAGGGATGGGACACTGTCCACAAGCGGACTGGTACAAACAACACTGGGGTGCCCCAGCCCTCTTCCTGACTCAGGGTACTGACAAGTTGACAACCCACAGGTAGGAGCTGGAAGGATTCTTTCCTGGAGAAACTGATGGGACAGAGAGAAAAGTCAACTACCTGTCATCTCACCAAGTGGTGCGCACCCGCCGCCCACAGGAAAGCACGGTGAGCAAGCCCCAGTAAGACGCCAAACTCTGTGCAGCTTTAGTGCCTCTCTTGGAAGAAACACAGTGCTGATCAAGCAAACAACAACCGGAGAAGAGGAGGAAACTGCCCAGGAAACTATGCATTAAGATAGACAAGAACTGGACGCTTGTACTTAGAAATTTAAAATGACAGTAGAAAACTTAACAATCAACAAAAAGACAGAAAGATAAACTTTGAAGAAACTTCTCACATGTAGAATAAAGAGGCAAAGATGAGACATTATGAGAAAAAATAAGAAGAAAGTATTAATTGGGGTGATCTTACACCAATTAGGTGTCCGAGCGAGAACAGAGGAAAAACTGGAGGGGAGAAAATTATCAAAGAAAAAATACAAGAAGTTCCCTGTGCTGAAGGCCATGAATTTGCAGACTGAAAGGCCCCTGGGGTACCCAGCACAATGGGTAAGAAAACCCAGGCCCAGAGTTTGCCTGGATATGAACATGGAGTGTCTACAGCTGGGCTCACCTGTCACTCTGTCTGCCTGCTTACCTACTGTTTCCTTCCCCTGGAGCTAACAGTCCCTCCTTGTTCTACCTGCTTAGCTTCGCACCTATTACTAATTTCTCCCAGACTCTCAGAGAGAAAACCTCCTGGCTCACCAATGTCGCTTCGGGATCGCTCTGCCAGACCCTGCTCTCCTCCCATCAGACCTGTCACCGATGCCCTCTACACAGGGAGGCCCCAGAACCTGTCACCACACAGGACACATTGGGAGTGAAAGGGTAAAAGGGATGGGGCTGTGAATGGTGATGCCGAGACCACATGTGTTGACCAGAAGCATCCCACGCACAATGGTCTCTATCCGACCTTCCACAGAGGGTCACCATGGCCTAAGCCCCTGGCTCCTTCACGAACCAGCCCCTGCCTCTCGAAGTATTGACATTTCCGCCTCAGGCACTTCCTGCCACCCAGAGGCTTCCCCAGCACAGCTCCAGTCCAGGCAGAGGGACGACTAGATGGTCTCTGGTGCAGCTAGCCCATCTGCCAGCGTAATCACACACGGGTTCCATGTGCGTGTGCTTGTTCAAGGCTTTATTTGTGTGCAGTGAAATGCCAATTTGGAATCATTTTCATGTGCAACAGCCATTTAAAAACATAGACCACTCTTAGCTTACGAGTCATACGGAAACAGGACGTGACCTGCCGGCCATGGTTTGCTGACCCTGTTCTAAGACCTCCCACCACTCACTGTCCAGCTGCCCATTTGTCCTGACAAGCTGCTCAGGCCCCACTGGGCACCTTCAAAGCTGGAGGCTGCATCCGCTGTCCTTCCTGTCACCTAAGGTCCCCTGTCCTCAAATTTCTGTGTCCTCACCGCAAGCCCCTGCCACACCACCCCTCCCCTTCTGTCATCTCCTGACATCCTGGTCAACTGTTGAACAGGACATTTTAGGAAACACTGAGAATGGTCACTAATGACATATTTCTGCTGAGCCCGGGACCCCAGAGTAAAGCAGTTTCCACGGTCTCCTGAGCGGCCATTTTACCAGGCGGGGACCCGCCTCCTACTGGAGGTGCAGCCCTGTCAGTCAGGCCTCACGCTGCACCCCACCTGCACCTCAGCCATGGGGTCTGTCCTTCAGCACATCTTCCCTCAGAAGACTCCAGCACACCATATAACTTACTACACTCAGAATGAAAGGGCACCCACAGGAGAGGCCTTGTCACTTATCCGTCAGAAAGCCCTGCCCGCTGCCTCCCTGCAGCCCTGCCCGGTACATACTTGAAGCGGACCTTCTCTTCCATGTCCAGGGGCGGGTCCTGTGTGATGAGGCTCACCAGCTCTTCCATGCACTGTGGCCGACACAGGAAGTCCAGCAGCTTCCGGTTCTGAGCCCTGCACTCCTGCAGGATGTCATCTTCGTCCATTAACTCCCGCAGTGTCACACCCTCCTTATCCAGCAGCTTGTCGACATGGGACGTGGTGTTCAAGTCAAACTTCCAGAACATGGTGACGGCCACAGACCTGCAGCCAAAATAAGAGGGTCACTTCTCCCAGCCACCCGACACCAGAGTCCAAGAAGTCCACCCCACACAGCCTGCGCTGAAGAGGGCCCTCTTCCCAATGCCCACTCTGACCACCTCTCTCTGGGTCAGGCTCCCAGGTCAGCAGGGACATCCCAGCACTTGGTTCCCTGCTGGCTGACCCGCCTTCCTTACTCTCCTTTCGCTCTCACTCACTCCCTGGCTCCTTTAGGTGTGTCTCCTGTGTCAGACGGGGATGCCCCTCCACCCCAAGAAAGTTCATGACTCATAAGCCCTGCCCCAGTATCTGGCTCCTCCAAGTGAACACTGGACATCTCTCCCCAGATGTCTCTGTATCATATATACTTAAAATTTTCTGTATATGATGTTTTCGTATCTTAGAACACCTTCCTGGCTGGGAAGAGATAGCCCCTCTAGGGGCTGGTCAATTCTCAGAGACAGGAAAGGGCGCAGCAGGAGCAGGCCTATGATCTCTCTGCACACTTCCATCCGGAGTGGCTCCTCTGCTATCCCAGGCCCCCCCAACCCCTCCCGGGCCAAGGCCCAGGCAACTAGGAACCACCCCTGTGGCTTAGGCCCCGGTGAAATTATTCAAACTAGCCCACCCTACCCTGTTCACGGGCCCTGCCTCTCCTTTCCTGTGGAGAAACCCACAAGGGCTGTGCCTAAGAACTCCAACACCTGTCTTCTGCCCCTGGAACACCCCTGGGGCTTCCCCACGTGGCCCTGCATGAGGATTGGGCCTCCTGTCTCCAGGACCCATGAGTATAACAACTTTGTTTTCCTGAGTCTCTCTTGCGTCTCCTCTCATGGCCATGCTTAACTGACCATCTCATAAAAGAATACAAAACATCTCATGGACGCAACCTCAGCAAGACAGCTTGTTCTGTTGGACCCTCTGCTCCTCTGCCACCCCCACCCCTCTTTTCACAGTCCCCATCTTGCTGAATAGAGTTACCCTTAAAGTCCCCATATCCTTCACACCGCTGGCCCTGAGACACTGCTCCTGCCCCAGCCTGTCCTCTGCATCCCACAGTCCTCTCCAGGTCTGGCTGTCTTTGCCTAGACAATATGAGGTTTGTCCCACTGAGTGAGCCTCACATGTCAGTCTGTGGGCCTAGGTATCTGTTTGACACAAAATGAAAAACATAAAGCTTGGATCTTTAACAAAGTAAACCTGTATTTTGAGATTATAAATCTTTGCAATGTTATAAGAATCGTTATTTGCAAAATTACAGTAATAGTAGATGGATAGATGGACTTCTCTACAGTTAATTTAAAAGAGTAAAGGCTGCCCACATGATGTGAACCCTGTGTGTCCGTCTGACAGGCTTCTCACTGTCCAGCCGTCCCCCTAGCAGCCTCTTATCCCTGTTGCAGATTCCCTTTTCCAAACCACAGACATCTTCACATTCCTCTCATCTTGCTTCAAACCCCCAGGGCCCCAGACACCCCATGCTCACCTTGGCCACAAGGACACTGTTTTTTCTCCAGCACCAGCTGCCCTCTCCCACCTGTATCGTTCTGCCCCTACTCCTGTGCTCAGACAGCCCCTCCTCTGACAAAATCCCACTTGCCCAGATAGACTGAGACAGTGCATCCGCACTCAGAGGTTGGGCGCTTGGACTTGCCCTGCACTCGGGGTCCTCTGGGCCCACAGTCCTCCTGATTTCTCCTGTGAGGAGTGGGGGTGGACACTGGGTGGCAGCAACAGACTGCAGGACCAGAGATCACGATTCCTCAAAGCACCTTCAGAAAGAGATGGCACCTCCACCTTCAGGCGGCCCTCTCTACTGAGCAACTCAAGCTCTTGGATAACATACAACCCAGGGAAAGAGGGCAGCACAGGGAGACCCCCACCCTGCCAAAGCTTCTTCCCAAGCTGGCTTCTGTGTGTCCTGCTTTCAGCCAAAGCGGACCACAACATCCCATCAACCAAAAGAAGACCAAAAATAAAATAAAATAAAATGAAAAAAGAAGAAATAAGCAACAAAAACAGAGGGGACAAGTGGTTTTGGAAAAAAACAGCAAAATAATAGACATAAGCTCAACCATATCAGAAAGTGAATTAATGGATGAATAGTTTCAATTAAAGACAGAAACGGTCAGACTAGACTTAAAAAAGCAAGAACAACAGAGTGTCCCCCAAAATTGTACGCACACTTCAAATTATAAACTCAGTATTTATTAACATACAGTTTATTTTCAACATTTAAAAGAACCTACAGAAATGAATAATTTTTTTGTCAACGCCTGTCTTCAATCAGATGACCATTCTGGTCCAGGCGTCACTGATAATGGGAAGCAATGGAATCGCTAACATCGAGAATCATTTCCTTCAGTATTTTGCACTCTCAATGCATCCATTGCTGGTTTTGTACCCTAAACTTTATCTTTTATGTATCCCAAAATAAAGTCTAGTGGATAAGTTTTCTTTGTTCAAAGCTTAGTCCGGCTTCCCCCATGATTTCAAATCCGTTAACCCTGAAAAGGAGTGAGCATTAAGGGAGCTATCTGCTGTTAATGTGTGCATGTTTGCTGACGCCCTGTGTGTGCTGAGTACAGACAGCTCACTTTATTTTTAATTGATTTGAGAGGGAGAGAAGGAGGGAGACAGAGAGAGATAGAGATGCTGATGTGAGAGACAAATAGCAATTGCTGCCTTCTGCACGTGCCCTGACCAGGAACCAAATCCACCACCTTTCGGTGCCCAGGACAACGATCCAACCAACCGGGCCAGCCAGCCAGGGCACCTTTCCAGCTTCTTAAGGTAGGAGCTCAGACCGCTGATCTTTAACTATCATAACTGTTAAGCGCCACAGGCCCCTCAAGCACAACTCCTGCTGCACCCACAGGGCCCTCGAGCCTGACTCCCGCTGCACCCACAGGCCCCTCAAGCACAACTCCCACTGCGCCATAGGCCCCTCAAGCATGACTCCGGCTGCACCCACAGGCTCTGACATTCGTTCTCCTTGTGATTTCCCGGTTCACAGGTGACTTGGTGGATAAACCCTAAAGTCCTAGTGATTCGGGGACCCCCCAAACAGCTCCTTGTTACTGATACTATTTTCCTTGTTCTCAGAGAGCAGGGTTACGTGACTTCATTGCTCTAACTGTACTGGTATTTGGTTTATGGCCTAGCCGAGGGGTCAGCAAACTCCTGTAAAGAGCTGAACAGCAATGATTCTCTTTGTAGGTCGCACAGGGTCTCTGTTGCATGTTCCTTTCCTTCTTCTCAATAATCCTTTAAAAACATAAAAACCGCTCTCAGCCCCGGCCGGTGTGGCACAGTGGGTTGGGCGCCGTCTGTGCACTAAAAAGTGGCTGGTTCGATTCCCTGTCAGGGCACATGCCTGGGTTGTGGGTTGGATCCTCACTTGGGGCATGTATAGGAGGCAATGATCGATAATTACAGTAGTGACGTTAAAAGTCACTCTCTCCCTCCCCTCTTCCTTCCTCTCTCTAAAAATCAATTAAAAATCTTAAAAAAAGAAAAAGAACTACTCAGTCTGTGAGCTGTAGAGCCAAGCAGTGGGCTGGACATGCGTGCAGGCTGCAGTGTGCTCCCCAATAGCCTTGCCTACGACACGGGACATGGCCCAGCCTGGTGAATGTGGCATGTGCATGGGAAAACAGGGTCCTGCTGCCGCTGTGAGTGAGTCAGTTTGTCAAGTTAGTGGATAATAATATAATGATAACTGATAAAATCAGCTGACAACTGATTTTGTGACTACTTATATCAAATAATGAGAGGAGGATGGCAATCTTCAACTATAACTGTGGATTTACTTACGTCTCCTTTGGATTTTATCAGTTTTTGCTTCATGTATTTTGAATTTATTTTATTGTGTGGGTATATACTTAGGACTGTTATGTCTTCTTGATGAGCTGCCTCACTGGTCATTTTGAAATGCCCCGTATTGTCTCTGGTGACATAGGCAGCCTCACTTCCCTGTGCTTTGCAGATAATGCATCTCCCCACAAACTGCAGGTCCGTGCAAACCAGCATCCAGCAAGCCTATCAGCACCATTTCCCACCAGCCTGTGCTCATCACTGTCATCACGTCGTCATGGTGATCTGTGATCAGTGACTTTTAACGTCACTACTGTAATTATCTGGGACCCCATAAACTGCACTCATATAAGACGGCGAACTTAACTAACAAATGCTGCGTGTTCTCACTGCTCCACCAACCGTCCCCCGTCTCTCTCCCTCTCCTTGGGCCTCCCTACTCCCTGAGACACAACAAGGCTGAAATGAGAACAACTAATATCCTATAATGGCCTCCAAGTGTTGAAGGGAAAGGAAGGGTTGCTCGTCCCTCACTTTCAATCAAAAGCTACACATGATTAGCGTGGTGAGGAAGGCATGTCCAAAGCCGAGATAAGCTGAAAGCCAGGCCTCTTGCACCAAACAGCCCAACTGTGATGCCAAGGAAACGTTCCTGAAGGAAATTGAAAGTGCTGCTCCAGTGAGCACACAAGTGATGAGAGAGAGAAACGGCCTTCTTGCTGATGTGGAGAGTTTTATTGGTCTGGATGGAAGATCACACCAGCCACAACACTCCCTGAAGCCAAAGCCTAATCCAGAGCAAGGCCCTCACTCTTCAGCTCTGTGAAAGCTGAGAGGTGAGGAGGCTGCAGAAGAAAAGCCTGAAGCTGGTGGAGCTCGGTTCATGAAGCTGAAGGAGAGACGCCATCTCCATGACAGAGAAGGGCAGGTGAGGCAGCAAGTGCTGAGCCAGAAGCTGCAGCAGGTTACCCAGAAGATCCACTAAGATGGTTCCTGAAGGAGGCTACACTCGACAGCAGGCTCTTCAACAGCCTCAGTAGAGACGAACCAGCCTCCTGCTGGGAGAAGACGCCATCCAGGACTTCCACAGCTGAGAGGAGAAGTCAGGGCCTGGCCCCACAGGACAGGCAGGCTCTTGCTAGGGGCTCATGCAGCTGTGACTCTAAGTTGAAGCCAGTGCTCACCGACCACTTAGAAAATCCTGGGCCCTTAAGAATGATGCTGAATCTGCTCTGCCTGGATCTGTGAATGGACAACAAAGCCCGGTGACAGCACACCTGTGTGCAACACAGCTCGCTGAGTAATTTAAGCTGACTATTGAGACCTACCGCTCAGAAAAAGGGATTCTTTCCAAATTTTACTGCTCACTGACAATGCATCTGGTCACCCAAGAGCACAGATGGAGATGGATGATGAGATGAATGTTGTTTTCATGCCTTTCTGTAGGTCTTGGGTCAAACACTAATTTAGACATTCGAGTCTTATTACTAAAGAAATACTACATTTTGGAAGCTAGAGCTGCTGTGGTGATTCCTCCAATGGATCAGGGCAGTAAACCGAAAGGGTTTCACTGCTCGGCTGGCATAGCTCAGCGGCTGAGCACCGACCTATGATCCAGGAGATGGTGGTTCTTCAGGGCACATGCCCAGGTGTGGGCTCGATCCCCAGTAGGGAGCAAGCAGGAGGCAGCTGATCAATGACCCTCGTCATTGATGTTTCTCTCTCTCCCTCTCCCTTCCTCTCTCTGAAATCAATAAATATCTATTTAAAGAAAGGAAAGGACTTCACCATTCCAGACGCCACTAAGAACATTAGTGATTCCTGGGAAGAGGTCGACAGAGCAACATTCACAGGAGTCTGGAAGACGCGGGTTCCAGCCCTCACGGCTGCCTTGGAGGGCTCACGACGTCAGTGAGGAAGTGACTGCATGTGGTGGAGACAGCGAGAGAACTAGAGTTGGTGGCGGGGCCTGAGGATGGGACTGAACTGCTGCCAACTCCTGACCGGATTTGTGGAGGGGAGGTGCTTGTGGATGGGCAGAGAAGGGTGGGGGTTTGTAGGGATGGACTCACTCTGGTGAGGATGCTGTGAAGAAGCGACAACAAAGGACTTAGAGTGTCACAAACTTGGCTGGCAGAGCAGGGGCAGGGCCTGAGGACTGGCTGTAATTCTGAAAGTCCTGTGGGTAAAATGCTGCAGGGAAACCGTTCATGAGGAAGAGTCACTTGACACAAAACCTCCAATGTCTCCCTTTAAGAAACTGCCAGGCTACCCCCACTTCAGGCCACCCTTGTCAGCTCACCGCCATCAACACCAAGGCAAGGCCCTGCACCGGCAACAGGACTGCGCTTGCTCAGATGAGGGCTAGCATTTTCTTTCAATAAATTTTTTAAAATTAAGGTATACACATTCTTTACTTTAGACATAATGCTATCAAAAACTTAACAGACTACAGTGTAGTGTAAACATAACTTTTATACACACTGGGACACCAGTGTTCATGTGACTCACTTTATTGCGAAATCTGTTTTATTGTGGTCTGGAGCCTAATCCACAGTCCAAGGTGTCCCTGAATTTTTTTCTCAATTTCTCAATAAATATGACTTGCTTTTTAAAGGAGATGAATAAACCCCAATGGCAGCTAAGAATTAAAAGTGCAGAGAGTGAGTCCTGTGGCTCCCTGAGAAGACTACAGCTCTTGTTTCCTCAGTAAATCCATCAGACATCTGCTCCACCTCTGTTGGAGGTGTTACCACTGGCTGTAAGAAAATCTCAGTACTTTTGCCCTGGCCAGTGTAGCTAAGTGGTTAGAGCGTTGGCCCGCAGACTGAAGGGTCCCGGGTTTGATTCTGGCCAAGGGCACGTAGCTGGGTTGCAGGCTCGATCACCAGCCCCGGTCAGGGAGCATGTGGGAGGCAACCAATTGATCTGTCTCTCTCACATCGATTCTTTCTCTCTCTGAAAAAACAATGGAAAAAATATCCTCAGATGAGAATTAAAAAAAAAATCTTAGTACTTTTAACTTTAAAACTAACTCATATTTATAAGCAGTAACTGCAGACTATCAGGCTGTTACCTCCTTTTGTAATCTAACATTTGTAAGCAGCTACCAAACCATGTTGAAAAGGCAGTGAGCCCCCCTTACGTGAAAGGCCGGACTCGAGCCCACACCCCTGGGAAACAGAAGAGCAGAGGAACGGCCACACCTCCACCTCAAGGTCCTCCAGGGAGGAAGTTACTTCCCAGGAGGGCACGGGATTCACTGCCCGGGACAACTGGATCCCCCAAGAACAGAGCGACCTAAAGCCAGGCACCCAGGGGACACTAAGGGGAAAAGGCTGAGCAGTGGGGAGGCCTCACCTCAGAGATGACAAGGAGCAGGCCTCCCTCCCACCTTTAAGGACACTCAGCAGGGGACGAGCAGCCCGCACACAGGTTACCTGTTACCTGTGAAATATCACCAAGCACCTGTCACTGTCCCTCTCCCTCACGGGCTCCCTATGCAAACCCTTCCTGCCACCGGCAGCTCACGGAGCCCGTGAGGTACTGCCTTGGAGACCCTGCGAGGACATGAAACAACGCTCAGTGGGGTAGGTCCTGGAGGTCTGTGGAGGTGGGCTGAAGGCCACCCCAGCAGCAGGCGCCCTCAGCCCCAAGCACCCAGCCNTTACTAAAGAAATACTACATTTTGGAAGCTAGAGCTGCCGTGGTGATTCCTCCAACGGATCGGGGCAAAGTAAATTGAAAAGGCCCTGACCCATTCTGCTCAGTGGTTAGAGCATCGGCCCTCAGACTGGAGGGTCTCAGTTTTGATTCCAGTCAAGGGCACATACCTCAGTTGCAGGCTTGATCCCCAGCCCTGGTTGGCATATGTGCAGGAGGCAACCAATCGATAATTCTANTGGCGTATGTGCAGGAGGCAACCAATCGATAATTCTACTCCCCCCCCGAAAAGCAACAGAAAAAGTATCCTTGGGTGAGGATTAAAAAATAAAATAAACTGAAAGGATTTCACCATTCCAGACACCACTAAGAACATTAGTGATTCCTGGGAAGAGGTCGACAGAGCAACATTCACAGGAGTCTGGAAGACGAGAGTTCCAGCCCTCACGGCTGCCTTGGAGGGCTCACGACGTCAGTGAGGAAGTGACTGCATGTGGTGGAGACAGCGAGAGAACTGGAGTTGGTGGCGGGGCCTGAGGATGGGACTGAACTGCTGCCAACTCCTGACCGGATTTGTGGAGGGGAGGTGCTTGTGGATGGGCAGAGAAGGGTGGGGGTTTGTAGGGATGGACGCACTCTGGTGAGGATGCTGTGAAGAAGCGACAACAAAGGACTTAGAGTGTCACAAACTTGGCTGGCAGAGCAGGGGCAGGGCCTGAGGACTGGCTGCAAGGGAAGAGAGAGAGAGAAAGAGAAATGAGAGAAAAGGAAAAGAAGGGAAAGAATAAACTGTCCTCTACAATTATCTTAATTTCAGAAAACTAAGACTTTAAATATCAAAAAAAAAAGGAAAGCCGTAACTTCAGGACCAAGGATAATGCCTCACTTTGAAAAAACAGTTTTAAGAAAAACTCACCTTATTGCACTTATTTTGTTCACATCGCCAATTACTGACCCGCATTTGAGAAACTATTTATTTCACCACCACCAACACAGGAAATGAAACGAGGTTACTCTTAAACCACTGAGCCCACTAGCTCACGCGCTCACATCAGCACATTCTGCTCTGCCGCTAAGTCACAATCTCTAGATAACGACGCTCCTGTTTCCATCGGCTCTCTCTGCATTTTAAGAAACACTGATGGCATCTGTGGCACCCTTTAAAAGTTCATCAGTGGCACTGCTTTAGCTGTAGTTAATTTCAATTCAAAGGAACTGCTCTCAGAAGATACTGCATACTCCTTTTCCAACCGCTCCTCATATCCCAGCAACCACATGCTGCCCACAGAAGTGCCAGCATCTCCTTAGCTGGCCTCACCTACAGAAGGGCTGTTGCTCTCCTTCCCTAGGTGACACATTCAAGTCCTGTCATGAGACTGCAGGCCCAGAACTGACACTTGAGATGTTGGGACTCCTGCCACACCCTGACAAGCCCTCCGCCCTCCAGGCTCTTTGGAATGCCAAGCAAAGTATCACCAACATCTTCCAGATGCTTATTCAACCACCATGGAAAGGAACTTGAAGTTCCACGTTGTCTATTTACTTTTTCCGGTTAGCACGACCATCAGACAGAAGGTGAGTTCCAAAGAGAAATGCTCCCATATGACCATTTAATTCCAAACGGAGCCCTTCACAAAAGAACACTGAGGTTCAGACTGTTGCTAAGAGAAATTAGAATCTAAAAGATTTACAAAGTCCTGGATCTGCTGTGTGGCCTGAGGCTAGTTCCATGACCCCTTGTACTTTGTT